TATCTAATTGCTAGAAACATAAACATAGAGCAGAGCTGAGCTTCTAAATGTAATGTAGTCCTCTTAGCTAAGGACACCCTTTCTTAGGGTACAAGTGGGCCACATTACCCACTTTCCCATTAAAAAATTGTTGGGAGGAAAATTACCCCCAATTTATCAAACAAGGCAACATAATATGCAACCTCACAAACCTATATATATATATATATGTTGCCATAAATATGCCCCTATGTCAGAGTGGAGCAGAGCCTTATAGTAGAGAAGCAGGTCCCCCTCCCTCTGATAATAACAGTTGCATGTTGTGTTTTGATTTGTTTGTTTAGCTTTTAGTGCATTTGTCTATGCATCTTCATATTTAGCTTCATGTTCAGTTACTCCCACCAATATGTTTCATTTCTAATATGATCAAGACAGGTGGAAACATTCAGAGTCTTTTCAGAATATTATCAATCAAGAAAGCTTTTGAAGGACTTTATTTTCGATAAGATGGTTTTGTAAAGGAGCCACAATGTTCTGAGTCTCATAACACTGCTTCTACATGATGCAGTGAGCCATAAAGGAAAGTCCAGGTGCATTCTAGTAAGATTATAGTCAAAGGGGTATTACAAAGATAGGGACCACATTATAGGCGGAATTTATCTGACAATGTCCTTTTACTGATAATGGAGACCTTCAGCACTCCTCCTTCACCTTCATACACAACATAAAGCCTTACATGACTTCTGATCTTTCTTTTAATAAACCAGGCAACTAGTCATCTCCCCAGATGAAGTTTGCATTTTACAGAACCATCCTGATAATTCCTCAGACATAGGCAAGAAGAATGGATAAACCTCATGGAGTTCATCAGTTTGCAGATACCTCATCTTATAAACTCATGCCACATTTAGGTAATAGTTATTTCTATTAGAAAGATTTTTTTTAAAATGAAAACCAATGACATGCACTCACCACCAGAGCACCCCCAGTGTCAGCATGCAATGTTGCAGGGGTTTTCATCTCTGGTGCCCCCTGCAGGCCATCTGTTTTTGTGACAGTCAGTCCTATGACGGAGAAACTGCTAGTACAACCCCCTTCAGAGGTTGGAAAATGTCGAGGTGCAGTCCAATCCCCCCACACACACCCCCAATCAACCTAACCTCTGAGCCAACTGCTCAACCTATTCCTGGGGTTCCACTGCCTTCCCTGGCTTTGGTATCAAGCACTGCCCTGCCCCATCTAAGTCCTCCTGAAATCTCTAGCCTCCAACTGTCTCCAGTGCATCAGCCCTTCACAGTCTAACTCCACACAAAACAGCCAGGGGGTATGGAGGAGTGCACTAAATACTGGGCTATGGGATATTCTGATGAGGGGCACGATCTCGCTTATTGACATTCAGGGCCGGCTCCAGGCACCAGCGAAGGAAGCAGGTGCTTGGGGCGGCTAATGGAAAGGGGTGGCAGGTACAGGTCTTCGGCAGCAATTCAGCGGCGGGTCACTCAGTCCCTTTCTTCCTCTTTGAGCTGCCGCTGAAGTGCCGCCGAAAAGGAAGAGAGGGAGCGAAGGAACCGCTGCCGCATTGCCGCAGAAGAATGAAGTGGCACAGTAGAGCTGCCGCCAAACTGTTTGATTTTAAAATCGGCTTGATTTTATTTTTTTTCGCTACGCCGCTTGGGGCGGCAAAAAGGCTAGAGCCGGCCCTATTGACATTTTTCCGCTTTAATTAAATAATTAAATATTAATTAAGCCAGAAAAAGAGAGAACAATTCTATAGCCCAGTGCTTAATGGACTAACTTGACAGGTGGCAGATCTCTGTTCAAATCCCTTCTCCTCATCATACAGAGATGAGAATTGAAACAGTGGTCTCCCACATCCTTGCTGATTACCCTAATGACTGGGCTATAGGTTATAAAGGAGGGCCTCCTCATTCCCCCCCGCCCCAGGCTGTTTATTGGGGATTAGGTGCTGAAGTACTTTTGCGGATCTGGGCCTACACATCTAAGCCCTTTTGAAAATCCCACTAAACACCTACCTGCATCTTTAGGCACTTAAACACCTTTAAAGATATGGCCCCAAACATCTTTCTTTAAGTGCAAAAAGCACTTCTTGTATTTTTCTCCCTTAGTAACTCACAAGCAGCAGACAGGATTTCACTCTGACTTGCAAACTTAGTTGGTCTCCTTATGGTTGAAAAGAGGCATTTAAAGTTTCAGGCCAAAAAGAGGAAGTTATGTTCCTGTGAAAACTGGGAGTGCCTAATGAAAATCCTGATGCAAATTAACGGGACAGTTTTTGGCACTAGTTTAATGTGAAGACACATCGTCCTCTGACTATTAGGCGATTTATAGGGTTTCATATGGTGTATGAAGGAACAGAACTTGGTTTCCTGACTTCTGTATGTAGCTTTTGCATTAATTAAAATGTATACCCTTAATTTAAATTTTAGATTCACATTTTCTACAAAGCACGCACAGCATCAAATCAAAGGTGATACCATTTAAGAAGCGTACAAAGATTAACATTACTTTTCCCCCTACATCAGTTATGGTGCATTCAAGCTCTGCCTGAGTGTAATGGGGTTGGCACCCGCCTCTCACAAGTGCTCGCTCTGGCTGAGTGTGTGCTTGCAATCTCTCAGTTTGGAATAGGGTGGCACCCACCTCTCACGAGCGCCCCCTCCTTGTGTGGTGTGAGCCGACTGTTTCTTAGTTTGGGGAACAGGGTGGCACCCACCTCTCGCAAGCACCCCCTTCCTCTCGCTGCCAGCTGATGGTTTTTTCAGTGGGTCTTCAGTGACTCAGCCCTGCGGCCAAGTCACACACACTGTCTGGAGATGGAACAGAACAAACAACCCCCTTCCGGGGTATACAGTCTTTACCTTCCGCCAAGGCTTGATCCCTGGAGACACTGCTCTCTACAACAGTACAACTAGGACAAGCATGGTACCCTCACTTGAGCGGGATGGGTTCTGGCGCCAGCCCTTGCTCAATCCCCACAGCCAGCCATGAGCT